AGTGCTGGGATTATACCATGCCCAGTTTGTTCCCACCTTTAAGAAGTGCCAGCTCCAGAAACTGCCTGTGGTCAAATTCTGGAGCCCATCCCTTGAGTTCAGGCAGGAGATCCAGGGTGAGGGCCTTGGACCAGTCCGTCTGACCCTGCAGCGGTGACACACGGTTGTTCTCAGGTCTTCAGGACGGTTTGGGTCAACACATCTGGTTGCTGTAACACCATGAAAAGATGGGGTGGTGGAGGGTGTCCTACAGCAACTGAAGAGCGCAGAGAGAAGTGTGAGGTGTCCCCCACCCAGCGCCTTCGACTCCTGCTTCACAGATAACCCTGAGCATTTTAGCTGAAGGAGGGACGAGCTGCTAGAAGGGGGGGTTCCTGGCACTCTCAGAAGCAGGGCTAGAGCCGTAGAGCTCAGCAGTCACTTGGGTCTGGGAACACATTGGAGGGGACCGTAAGGCCCTGAGCTTTGGAACTTGAAAGTCTGGAGACACTGGAGATGGAGACCAGGCCCTGTGCGTAGCAGACAAGCTCTGTCCCCCCAGGCTGCACCCCAGTCCAGGGCAGTTGGAATACACGTCAGTGGACTCAGAGGCACCACTGTATTCCCACAGCCTGGGGATGATGACTCTAAATCTGAGGTGGGATTGTGTTTGGCAGCGCTGCTGTGGTCCAGCACTGTAATCTTAGCACTCAGAAGGCTGAGCCAGGAGGATTATGAGTTCAGTTCAAGGCCAACCGGGACTACATCTAGGCCTAGTCTCCAGAGGAGGGGGCGCGGGAGGATTGTGCTGATGTCCTCTGTTTGAGGAGACTGAAGAAAACACGGAGAAATAACATTCCACACGGCTTCTTTTCTGTACTACTAAGCATCAAATCCAGGGCCTGTGCATTGAGCTACCTCACCAGCCCTTTTTTTCTTCTTGGGATCAGATCTAGCTAAGTTGCTGAGACTAACCCCAAACTTATAAAATTGAAATGGGGAAAGTTCGTACCATAGTCTCTTCCCACTGACGGCTGCAGCCTGAAATCTCACAGGCGATCGCAGTGTGTGTGACACTGGAGAGGCTGGGCTGGGATTGGTGCTAGCAGCGTCCTCACGCTTTGCCCGTGTGCCGTGGGCGTCTGAAGTTCCGCACTCCTAGGTACCAGTGGTTCCAGTAGCACAGGCATGTACTTCTGTGACCCTTGGGTTGTGCACAGCAGCAGCACCATTATTAGCAGAGAAAGCGGGCACAGCGTGGCAAAGTGACGTGCCTGAGGTCACCAGGACTTAAGCCTGGGCACTTTGACCTGCCTGCTTTGTCCTGTGTGGAAGGACTTCCGTCCCCTTACTGTGCAGCAGTTTGTGGCGGGTGGTGCGGAGGGGTCTGAGGCCTCACTGCCCTGCAGGACCACAATTTTTTGGCGCTCGCAGGGACTGCAGCTTCCAGACAGTGAGCCCAGCCCTCCCTTCCCCTCTCCAGGCGCACCCTGGCTGACATCATCATGGAGAAACTGACTGAGAAGCAGACTGAGGTTGAGACGGTCATGTCCGAGGTGTCGGGCTTCCCTGTGCCACAGCTGGACCCCAGGGTCCTAGAGGTCTACAGAGGGGTCCGGGAGGTGAGAGCTGGGAAGGCAGTCACAGTGGGTCAGCCTCACGGTGGAGCGGGGCATCCCGTGTGTGGCCAAAAGCTGACTCGGTCGGAGACGTGGGTTCAGGTTCCCACTCCGGGTGTGCAGCACGAGGGTGGTAAAGCCCTTGCTTACAGGGTCGGCACAAGGTCCCATGTACCCACGTGGGAATAAATAGCACCCTAACGGGGCCTTTAACTTTGTCCCCTTTCCCAGGTGTTATCCAAGTATCGCAGCGGGAAGCTGCCCAAGGCCTTCAAAATCATCCCTGCGCTCTCCAACTGGGAGCAGATCCTCTACGTCACAGAGCCTGAGTCCTGGACTGCAGCCGCCATGTACCAGGCCACCAGGTAGCACAACAAGGTGGGGTGACCGAGTCTGTGGGTGAGGGCCAGGGCCAGAAGTTCCAGCTGTCCCTGCTATGTTCATTACTCTGGGGCTCTGTTCTTTGGAGTCTTCTGTGCTTTTTCATGTCACCACTTTCCTAGCTTTTTCTCTTGCATTTTGGGGAGCCAAGGCCCAGCTCACTGCCCCAAAGACTGGGCCAGGGATGTAGCTCAGGGGTAGAGCACTTGCCCAGCATACATGAGGACCTAGGTGTGATCCCCAGCACTGCAAAAAAAGGGGCAGACAATGCACTGTTTGGGGTGCATCCTGTTGCCCCCTCCCTCCTAAGCTGACCTGTGGGTTGCATGCACGTGGCTCCCACCACGCCCGTGATGTTTAAAGGGCCAGGCCCAGGCTGTCTAGTGACCAGGGATCTCCCCCTCCCCATTAGGATCTTCGCCTCTAACCTGAAGGAACGCATGGCCCAGCGCTTCTACAACCTCGTGCTGCTGCCCCGCGTGCGCGATGACATCGCGGAGTACAAACGACTCAACTTCCACCTCTACATGGCCCTTAAGAAGGCCCTGTTCAAGCCCGGGGCCTGGTTCAAAGGTGAGAGCCCAGGGGCTGGAGTCAGACCCGGCTTGGGGAGTGGCTGCTCCAGGGCAGTCCCTCAACGGGTGGGGTGCTTTCCTGCTATCACCCCTCGCTCACTCCACTGAATGACGGTGCCTGCCCTCTGCTCTCACAGGGATCCTGATCCCACTGTGCGAGTCGGGCACTTGCACCCTCCGGGAAGCCATCATCGTGGGCAGCATCATCACCAAGTGCTCCATCCCCGTGCTGCACTCCAGGTAGCCTTGGCGCGTGAAGGACAAGGGCAGCCGCTGGGCGTGTGTGGGGCTGCGGTGGGGAGGAGTTGAGAACACAGCCCTGGGCTTGTGGCCAAAGCCAGTGAGTGGACAGAGCGTGGCTTCACTGTACACAAGCGGCAGGGGAATAGAATCCCAGGGAGCAGCCTGCGGGCGGGCGAGGGAGTGGGGAGAGAGCCGGTCAGAGTGGAAGTGGGAGGCATTTGAATGTCAGGCCTGTGGTCCGGGCCAGTGCGGGGCTGTAGGGATAACTGGAGTCCAGGGGTTGTAATAATAAGGCTGAGGGGGTGAGGAGGCCCTTGCCTACCATGGCCCTGGGGATAGGATAGCTGGGGCAGCCAAGGAACAGGGCAGCGGACCCTCCCTGAGCCCCACCCCCGGGGCCCA